TGTATTTGGGATGAGATAATGCCTCTTTTAGAATACATTTCTTTCCAATCTTAATTAATTTTGGTTTAGCATCCATTTCTCCACTATTTGATGGATCATATCCAAAATAAATTTGTAAATTATTTAATGATCTACATTGTGTAACAAAAAATTTTGGAATTTTTTATTCATTCATCCTTCAAAAACTATCATATAAAAACGAATGAAAAATATATCAAAATAAAGCTTAAAATCTAAAGTTTTTATTAATGTAAAAATTAATAATTAATTCTTTCGCCATTATTTTCAATTATTATCTCACATCTTCTCATTGAACTAACAAGATTAATTATAATATTATTCGGAATTCTATCCCATTCTTCTATCATATACTGCTCTAATTCTGGGAGATTTTTAGGCATGCGCATTTCTACATTTCTTTTAACAATTGCCCAAAGGTTTTCAATTGGGTTTAAATCTGGACTATTGGAGGGCCAGTCTATAACTTCTGGAAAATTTTCATTCAAAAATGTTTGACAAACTCTGCTTGTATGCTTTGGATCATTGTCTTGCTGGAAGCACCAATTGTTTCCAAGCATTCTGTTGATCTCTTGCTTATGTCTTTGTAATATATCAATATAAAAGTTTGCATTCATAATTCCTCTGAAGCAAAAAAGAGAAGTTTTTCCTTGTACACAAAATCCTCCCCATGCAAAAATTTTTGTTCAATCTTTAGGAATCCTTCGTACTGGCCTTTCACCTTTGTACCATTGGGATATTGTATTTCTGAATAACTGAAAGGCAGTCTCATCAGAAATAGAGTGGTCTCCCAATTATCATTGAGATGTCTGGTTGCCCAACTAATACGAGCTTCTTTGTGAGCAACAGTGAGCATAGGTGTCTTTAAAGGCAAATTATTTTTGTAGCCCAAGTTTCTCAAATGTCTTGAAACTGTCATATGGGACACGTTGGCAACATTATTTGATAATTTTCTTGCTAAAGTTCTTGTAGAAAGTCTTGGGTCACGACGCAAATATTGTCCAATTGCTTTTGATTCATGCGCAGTAATTTTTTTGGGACGACTACTTCTGATTTTTCTTGAATTATCACCTTTTTCTTTTAATTTTTTAAGATTGTAATAGATTGTTGACATTATGATACCAGTTCTAGAATGTATTTCTTTCGCTGAAGTAATTCCATTATTCCACAATTGTAATATTGCTTTTCTTTGGGTTTCTTTATCAGAAGATGACATTATGACATTGATTTCATAACAAAACAAAACAAAACAAAACAAAACAAAACAATTTAAACGTATCCTAATATAGTTTAGTAGATATTTTTTATATATTCAAAACATGAAATGAATCACTTTTATTTTGGGAAAGTTATTAGTGTTTGAATTTGTGAAAATTTTTCCAAAATTTTTTGTTACACACTGTATATTTGCCATCAATGTCCCTCTAGGTGCAGGATTTTCAAAAATTACTTCTAAATAATCAAGAAATGTAGTGTCTTCATTAAGAGCTGCAACAAAATCTGACTCTTTGTACTCTGGATATAGAAAAAAAAAACAGGCCATATTAATTGTTGTGATTCTGGATGAAGATGAACAGAATGTGGTGAGTCAGGAACATTCAAAGTTGATTCCATTTGAATATCGCGAATATTTTCAAAAGTAATTAAAAATATTATTATTTTGTAGTTGCTGCAGTTATCAATTGAAATATAAAAATAAAAAAACCTTTATCGCCTTTTCCAATGCAATTTTTCCTTTTCTTTTTTTTTTTTAATTCCAATTCTAGTTGTTTTTATCATTTCTCGTCCAAGACCTTCTTATGATTTATACATTTTTCCTTCTCTTTTTGCATGGCAAGCTTATTCGGATCAATTTAATTTTTACTTTTGTTTATAAATTATTACACATACATACATGGTTAATAATATAAATGAATGATGAATGGCTAGCATGTTGAATATATTTTAATTTACCAAAAGTGCATGATCACAACAACCCAAAGCCTCATCTAATTTATCAAGCATATATAAAGCTTTTGCGGATTGATAAAATGCTTTGGTATTTTTAAGATTGATTTTTAATGCCTTTGCACAATCATTTAAAACTCTATGATAATTTCCTATAAACAGAATATATATATATTAGCATTTTACTAGTCCACCAATAATGATTGATTATTGTTTATACTAACATAATTCCAAATTTATGGCAGCTCTATTAGTTAAACAAGCTTCAATCATTTTATTATCTTTGCAATCAGTATCTAATGCTTTAGTGTAAAAATTTATTGCATCTTGATAATGCAATTTGCCAGATTTGAAACATTCATTTCCTTGATTCTTAAAATTTTCTGCAATTTCTATTTAAACATTCAATGACGAGTATGAGGATGATTATGATGTTAGAATAATCAATTATCTAATAAATAAATAAATATACACCTTCTGGTGGTCCATCATAAATCAAGGATTATAAAGCTGACAAAGTCTGCATTTTCTTCTCTTTCATCCTCGAGTAGCTCAGTCATAAATAATGGAACTTTGTTGATTTCTTTGAAAAGATCCTCATCTTTGATTTTAGCTAAACCCTCCTTGAATCTTGGTCTTTCTGACATGTTGGGCATCTTTGATAAAAAAAACCAATTTTGTTTGAATAGATCATGTGATCCAAGAAATATTTAATATGGTAATAGTGCAGAACATCTATAACGAGAAACAACCTTCCTTATAACATGAGGAAATTAATCAATAATGTTAATATGTTAAAAATTTAACAAAAGATGGCGAATCTTTGTAGTCTCTTAACAAATCATTCTCAATTGACAACGATAACTGAAATGGAATGTCAATTGGCCAATATGTAATAATAATAATTGTGTTTACAACTTTAGTATAAATTCCTTCAATTAATGAACAATAGTAAACTAATACTAATAAAGACAATCCTTGGGTAATTAATTAATTAATTAATAAAGTTGATTATGGGTTAAAAAACAGATCAAAGACTGGCTTATCAAATACAATAATTACTGATGATAATAACGATGAGAATGAATTGGAAGAAGGATTAATTTCTAACTCAAAATTTCTTTTTAAAACAAAAATTCGTATTAAAAAGTCTCAACATTGGAGGCAAAGACTTCTTGGTTGAGGGTGAAGCTATTGTTGGTGAGCCTGAGTTGGTATTTCATCAATTATTTCTGGTGCAGTATGTAGGTTATGGAGAATTTTCACTTTGGAGTTGTATTAAGGAATAATGGAACAGTAGGCATTCAAAAGCATTAGTTGCAGTTATTTTCACAGTTTGGAAACATAGTATATTCTTTAATCTAAAGGTATAAAATGATTTTTGTGGATCAATAAAATATTTGTCATTGTTGCTTGAATCATCATTGACATTTCATTAATCTCTTAAAAACGACATTGAGGGTAATTGGGAAAGTGACTGATTTCCTAAGCAAGGAAGACTCCCAATTAACTCATCAATAATACATATTTATTATAATTTCTTATGAAAAAAATTTGAAAACTTTGTATTTATTAAATTAGTAATCAAAATGTTAGTGCAAGTCAACTTTTTAAATAGATTTACAAAAGCTAAAAATAACTACAAGGTGGAATATTAAGTGAGGGTTATTATTCATAAAACTAAATCTAATTCATCCATTTGACCATCATCATCATCATCTGATACTTCCATTTGATATTCATCATCAACATCAATATCATCATCAACAACATTAAGATCATCAACATAAACATCATCAACATCAACATCAACATCATCAACATCATCAACATAAACATCATCAACATCATCAATATCATCAACATCGTCAAAATCATCATCGATATCAACATCATCAACATCAACACCAATGCCAACAACACCAACATCAACACCAACAACATCAACATCAGCGTTAGCTTCAACATCAACATTGACATCAACAACATCAACATCACCTACATCATCATCATCATCATCATCATCATATTCATATTCATCTTCATCTTCTTCATCATAATAGTCATCAACGTCATGCTCATCTTCTGAATTGTAGGCTGCATAATATTGACAAGTGGGTGCATGATAATGATTACCATTGTTACGAATATTTTCGTAATCACCAAGACAACTGTCCCAGTTTAAAGATTTTTGTTTTTAGGAAAAGATTTTTATGAAAAGTTTCGAAGGACAACAGAACTGATTAAATACTTACAGCCAGCAAAATTCATAACCGCAGCGGCAACTCATGTGATCACATCCCTGATTTTTCTCGATAGACATTTGACAACTTGGGCATTGTTTCGTAAGTCGTTCATAATAGGCACGATTGGCAGTATAATCTTTGCTTTCTAGTTGCTCGGTGAATTGTGCACAGGTCAGGCCTTGATGCCAAGGAACATCATGAGTGAAACAGGATTTAGCGCTACAAGCACTACAAGTCATTATGGGTAATCTATCTGTAATTGATAATGGGCAATAAAAAAAAGCAATAGATTAGTGTAATATGGGAAGAAAATATTGTAAACCATTGTAAAAAGGAGTCACCTCCAGTTGTATGCTCCTGACCAGAACCACACTTTGGAGCCTTGCACCAACGAAAATCAGGAAGTTTACGGATAGCATTGCGTAATAACAATGTGTCATACCTTATCATGCAGGACAATATATTTAATAATTCGCATGGTTGAAAAGGCTCCTTTATAAACCAAAATTTTAAGTTACCTTTCAAATAATTCTTTTGTTGCCAATCTTCTCACATCATCAAAAGTCAACTCTGTTGTGCAACGAGATTTTGGACATCGCACTTGAACAATATCTCCTTTACTGTTCAACTCAGCTTCAATATGTCGTTTGATGCAAACAGGACAGGCATCATTGTGCTTGCACTCAGAAGTGATTTCTTGAAGTTTTAAATAGCCTTCGCAACAGATACTACATTCTTGTTTTGCTTCTTCAGCCATTAACTATATAGTATATGATAATAACATATGGTGTCTTTCGGTGGTGATAGTATTTACCCTTCCTTTCGTTCAATGGCTATGGCGTTAATGCTTCCTTTTGTCTTTATCCTTGTTTTCACAGGTAATGTTTTTCTTACCACGTATCCTGTTTCTTCCACTTTAAAATAGTATGTATCTTAACTTCAGCTTTTCAGCCGAAAAACTTAATTCCAATAATTATCTTTAGAGATTGAATAAACCAGAAATAAAAATAATTAAAGGAAAGGAGATAAGGAGAATAATGTTAGTAATTATGAAATAATGTTCAATTTATGTTGCTAGGTGGACAAGTTAAAACTTACACAAGCTTATTTTTATATCATTTAAGAAAAAAGGTTAATCTCACCTCCCGAACTTGAAGGATATGATGCAAATGGAGAATTCTCAGTGGGTGGGGAGCTTTGAATTTTATTAAATTTGCATTTGGTCTCTTTGTTTTTGAAGAGCTTGTCGAAGCCTCTATACGTCAGGGTGCCGCGTTCCTAAATCATGGATGTTTGTGTTGATGAGCATAAAGCCACCGAAATAAACGTAATGGTTTTGTGATTAGAGTTAATAAACTCTCTATTCTTTGATCGGTTTTTATTTTATTAATTTCTTTATTCCTGAATTTCTGATTACTCTTAACTCTTTGACAGGGGATTTACACCATTGATGAATTAGTATCCCCTGTGTCCTTTGAAATGGAGTAATAATCTATTATCACATATAGATCCTTAACATGTGAGGATTTAACAGGAAATGGTGGCATTGGCAAAGAAAGAGTACTGTATCTTTTTAATTGAAGCAATAATTACTATCATATAAATCCTTGACATTTGTTTGAGATTTGCAAAATAGATAGAGTAGAGAAAGTACTGGAGGTAGAAGTGTTTTTTGTTGCATAGACATTGCAATTAGAATAACTGGAAGGGGAATGCGTACCGTTAAATGATAACTTTATTTAAACCTGACTCCTAAACTCAATCAATATGTCAGGTTTAATATTTATTCTTTCGGGAATAGTTTTTTAAGGAACTATGGATTGCAATTGTAGAACGAATGTATGGGGAATAACGAATGCATTTTATATGTAGATTGACATTGCTGTGTGGCCCTTTCCAAATTTTGTTCTTCATTTTCGCATGGTCTTGGTATTTTTATTACCTGGGCGATACAATTTATTTATTATTGCAAATCTTTCTAATGAGACGGTTTCCTTAAAAAAAATTCTACCAAAAAAAATTTTTAGAAGTATACATATAGGAAAATGCCTGCAAGTATTTTTCTTTACATAAAATTTTTTTTACCAACATAAATTTAATTTAATAGAAAAATCGTTTTTATCAATGAGGGATTGAAGATCGTCTGTAATTTGGAAAAAGGAGAATTTAGACACCATTGAAAATTTCCAAGAAATATCAGCAATGGATTATAGTTGGTGTTGGTATTCAATAATAAAGAATTTGATAAGAAACCCTTTATAGCGGTGGTTTTGCAAATGCATCTTGTGTCTTTATAAAAGAAAAACTTATCTGTGGGAAAGTAGGACATAAATTAAGAGAATAATCAGTAAGAAATTTAAGAGATCCTAACAACTCGATCTACATATATAATAGTACAGAGCAATTTTATCATCAAAATTATTTTGCCTGCTTTCATGTTTAAATAAATAGCAATGTGCTTAAAAGATCTATCATGATTAGTGTTGGCGGTCACATTCAATAGAGTTTTCCCGGTCCTATTTTACTATTACTATGTTCACAAGCAATTTGAGAATAATATTTCTTGTGCTCATCTTTGATGCTTATTTATCATATATATAGATCCATACGGCCATCATTGATGAATTATCGATTCAATATAAACAATTATATACTTGAATCATAATTTAATCGTCCAATCAAAACTCGTAATTTTAAGTTATATGAATGATATGATCGTCACAATACTGTAATATTAATAAAGTTTTATTTAAAAAAAAAAATGCCTCCATTTGATTATAACGATGCAACCTTGACACTTCAAGAGTTAAGGAAAACTGGTCAAAGAAAACCTGATGTGGTTGTTTCATTGGGCGATAAACTTATAAATAATAAAAACTATTTTAATAAACTAGGTGATGAAGGTAAAGTAAGGAACCCCACTTTCAACTCCTTATAATAATCAATTATTTTGTTAATCTAACTTTGATTTTGCATTCTAGCCTGGTCTGTTTTAGAACAAGTATTGATCTCTTCGTTGGATGTTGGAAAAGAAGAGTTGACAAAGGTAATAAGAAAAAACCTGAAATCAAAACACCTTTGACTTTATGTATAAAAGGTGTGTATATAATATTGATTGGAAGGTTTCTTTGGCTCTTCTTTTGAATAAAGTCATGTTTAGAGAAACTAGAAACTAGATTTCCAGAATCTCCAAGAGTAAAAATTTTACAAGCAATGAAATTGGAAAGTGAAGATAAATTGAACGAAGCATTATCCATCTACGAAGATATTCTTAAAGATGACGATGCTAATATTGTAAATATGCATTTATACATATATAACTAATCAATTATCAATTAATCTATTGTTTGTTTATCTGGCAGATAGCTTTGAAACGTAGAATTTCAGTATATAAAGCTAAAGGTCAGGATCAACAAGCAATGGAATACTTGACACAGTATCTTGATGCTTATTACAATGATGCAGAGGCTTGGTTAGAATTAACATCTTTATACTTAAATTATCATTTGTAAGTAGCCATTATGTTAATTTTTATTGTTGCAGCTATTATTATTATCCATAAAATGATTCATTTTAATCACTAATTTGATAATATTAGATATCAACAAGCATCCTATTGTTTGGAAGAATTAATATTGTTGCAACCACAAAATTATTTTTTTCATTTAAAATATGCTGAAGTTTTGTACAGTAATGACAATTTGATTGATTCATTGAAAGGATTTTGTAGAGTGTTAGAATTATGTGGTGGTTATGAAAATAATGATTACCCTGAAAATATTAGAGCATTGTTTGGAATAAAATTGGTAAGTTTATTTTCATTTCCAATAAATTTACCATAATGTCAATAATATTGTCAATAATTTATTATTTATATCGATTTTAGTGCACATCAAGATTGCTTAATTTGCCAACAAATGCATTTTCCTCCTCTTCCTCCTCCTCCTCTTCCTCAACTATTAATTTTCCATTTTCAGTTGATATTGATTTAGTTAAAGATTTGAATAAATTGGCTATTGAGCGTATCTCGAATATTTATTCAAAGAACAACAACACCAGTAATAATAGTAGCATCATAAATCAATGGTTAAAAGATTAACAATTCCATACATTTACACATTTATTTAATAGCTTGTGTCATTTGAAATGTCAAATTCAATAGAAAAAAAATCAAAATAAGTAATAATAAATTTTACAGTCCCTTCTCAAGTAATGAATGATTAAAAGGAAAAAGATTAAATTTACCAGAGACAAAATTAATTAATTTGGTTGGTGTTTGGCAATAACATGAAAACCAATGATCAATTGCCTTATGTATTCGGAAGGGAAAAAAAGATAATGATAAATCTTATGAATTTTTCTTTAAATAATAGTATATATAATATTATAACAAATATATGATATCAATGGAATGTACTGTAACAACATGAACATGATTTTCTCGTTATTCGATATCCCCTGTAGTAATTAATCTAAAAGTGTAGATTTAATTTTTCTTTTTCGTTATATACATCAAGGAATTTTTTTTATTATATAAAGTATACCGTAAAGTCCCGAAAGATAGCACCCTTTTTAACAATTGTTTTAAAAGTAGGGGTGCTATCTTTCGAGATTTTACGGTATTAAGCTAATTTATATAAAATTCCCATGGTGGAATAGAGGTATTTAAGAAAAGAGCAAGGTAAAAGAATTGTTATATCTTGTATGTTTACCATCAACTTTTTCTTCACTCTTTGTATATAATGTTTTTCTTATATTCGGATGCTATCTTTTCAAAGCCTCCATCTTTTAGATCACTAACATTGGTAGATATTTTCTCCCTCTAAATTTCGTAATTAAATGAGAAATTTCTTTAGTCTTAAGAATTATACCAAAATTGAGACAATTTTTCCTCATCTGCGAACATTATTTTTTATCTTTTGGACTTTCATACATTTCTAGTTACAATTAGAAAACTCCCCAAAACTTCTATTTTTCTTAAACCATGAAAATTTGCATCTCAATTCTTTCTTACCAAATTTGGGGTGATACAGATATCAATACTTCCTAATTAACGCACTAAAAGAACATTTCAGAATCGTGCAACAAATAATGAATATAATTGAAATAATGATTTATTATTTTTGGTGTCTTTTTAGTATTTCAATACATTAGACAAAAAGAAAGCACCACAATTTTATATGTATATATAATGACGGAAGAAGCAAAACAAGAATGTAGTATCTGTTGCGAAGGCTATTTAAAACTTCAAGAAATCACTTCTGAGTGCAAGCACAATGATGCCTGTCCTGTTTGCATCAAACGACATATTGAAGCTGAGTTGAACAGTAAAGGAGATATTGTTCAAGTGCGATGTCCAAAATCTCGTTGCACAACAGAGTTGACTTTTGATGATGTGAGAAGATTGGCAACAAAAGAATTATTTGAAAGGTAACTTAAAATTTTGGTTTATAAAGGAGCCTTTTCAACCATGCGAATTATTAAATATATTGTCCTGCATGATAAGGTATGACACATTGTTATTACGCAATGCTATCCGTAAACTTCCTGATTTTCGTTGGTGCAAGGCTCCAAAGTGTGGTTCTGGTCAGGAGCATACAACTGGAGGTGACTCCTTTTTACAATGGTTTACAATATTTTCTTCCCATATTACACTAATCTATTGCTTTTTTTTATTGCCCATTATCAATTACAGATAGATTACCCATAATGACTTGTAGTGCTTGTAGCGCTAAATCCTGTTTCACTCATGATGTTCCTTGGCATCAAGGCCTGACCTGTGCACAATTCACCGAGCAACTAGAAAGCAAAGATTATACTGCCAATCGTGCCTATTATGAACGACTTACGAAACAATGCCCAAGTTGTCAAATGTCTATCGAGAAAAATCAGGGATGTGATCACATGAGTTGCCGCTGCGGTTATGAATTTTGCTGGCTGTAAGTATTTAATCAGTTCTGTTGTCCTTCGAAACTTTTCATAAAAATCTTTTCCTAAAAACAAAAATCTTTAAACTGGGACAGTTGTCTTGGTGATTACGAAAATATTCGTAACAATGGTAATCATTATCATGCACCCACTTGTCAATATTATGCAGCCTACAATTCAGAAGATGAGCATGACGTTGATGACTATTATGATGAAGAAGATGAAGATGAATATGAATATGATGATGATGATGATGATGATGATGTAGGTGATGTTGATGTTGTTGATGTCAATGTTGATGTTGAAGCTAACGCTGATGTTGATGTTGTTGGTGTTGATGTTGGTGTTGTTGGCATTGGTGTTGATGTTGATGATGTTGATATCGATGATGATTTTGACGATGTTGATGATATTGATGATGTTGATGATGTTTATGTTGATGATGTTGATGATGTTGATGTTGATGTTGATGATGTTTATGTTGATGATCTTAATGTTGTTGATGATGATATTGATGTTGATGATGAATATCAAATGGAAGTATCAGATGATGATGATGATGGTCAAATGGATGAATTAGATTTAGTTTTATGAATAATAACCCTCACTTAATATTCCACCTTGTAGTTATTTTTAGCTTTTGTAAATCTATTTAAAAAGTTGACTTGCACTAACATTTTGATTACTAATTTAATAAATACAAAGTTTTCAAATTTTTTTCATAAGAAATTATAATAAATATGTATTATTGATGAGTTAATTGGGAGTCTTCCTTGCTTAGGAAATCAGTCACTTTCCCAATTACCCTCAATGTCGTTTTTAAGAGATTAATGAAATGTCAATGATGATTCAAGCAACAATGACAAATATTTTATTGATCCACAAAAATCATTTTATACCTTTAGATTAAAGAATATACTATGTTTCCAAACTGTGAAAATAACTGCAACTAATGCTTTTGAATGCCTACTGTTCCATTATTCCTTAATACAACTCCAAAGTGAAAATTCTCCATAACCTACATACTGCACCAGAAATAATTGATGAAATACCAACTCAGGCTCACCAACAATAGCTTCACCCTCAACCAAGAAGTCTTTGCCTCCAATGTTGAGACTTTTTAATACGAATTTTTGTTTTAAAAAGAAATTTTGAGTTAGAAATTAATCCTTCTTCCAATTCATTCTCATCGTTATTATCATCAGTAATTATTGTATTTGATAAGCCAGTCTTTGATCTGTTTTTTAACCCATAATCAACTTTATTAATTAATTAATTAATTACCCAAGGATTGTCTTTATTAGTATTAGTTTACTATTGTTCATTAATTGAAGGAATTTATACTAAAGTTGTAAACACAATTATTATTATTACATATTGGCCAATTGACATTCCATTTCAGTTATCGTTGTCAATTGAGAATGATTTGTTAAGAGACTACAAAGATTCGCCATCTTTTGTTAAATTTTTAACATATTAACATTATTGATTAATTTCCTCATGTTATAAGGAAGGTTGTTTCTCGTTATAGATGTTCTGCACTATTACCATATTAAATATTTCTTGGATCACATGATCTATTCAAACAAAATTGGTTTTTTTTATCAAAGATGCCCAACATGTCAGAAAGACCAAGATTCAAGGAGGGTTTAGCTAAAATCAAAGATGAGGATCTTTTCAAAGAAATCAACAAAGTTCCATTATTTATGACTGAGCTACTCGAGGATGAAAGAGAAGAAAATGCAGACTTTGTCAGCTTTATAATCCTTGATTTATGATGGACCACCAGAAGGTGTATATTTATTTATTTATTAGATAATTGATTATTCTAACATCATAATCATCCTCATACTCGTCATTGAATGTTTAAATAGAAATTGCAGAAAATTTTAAGAATCAAGGAAATGAATGTTTCAAATCTGGCAAATTGCATTATCAAGATGCAATAAATTTTTACACTAAAGCATTAGATACTGATTGCAAAGATAATAAAATGATTGAAGCTTGTTTAACTAATAGAGCTGCCATAAATTTGGAATTATGTTAGTATAAACAATAATCAATCATTATTGGTGGACTAGTAAAATGCTAATATATATATATTCTGTTTATAGGAAATTATCATAGAGTTTTAAATGATTGTGCAAAGGCATTAAAAATCAATCTTAAAAATACCAAAGCATTTTATCAATCCGCAAAAGCTTTATATATGCTTGATAAATTAGATGAGGCTTTGGGTTGTTGTGATCATGCACTTTTGGTAAATTAAAATATATTCAACATGCTAGCCATTCATCATTCATTTATATTATTAACCATGTATGTATGTGTAATAATTTATAAACAAAAGTAAAAATTAAATTGATCCGAATAAGCTTGCCATGCAAAAAGAGAAGGAAAAATGTATAAATCATAAGAAGGTCTTGGACGAGAAATGATAAAAACAACTAGAATTGGAATTAAAAAAAAAAAAGAAAAGGAAAAATTGCATTGGAAAAGGCGATAAAGGTTTTTTTATTTTTATATTTCAATTGATAACTGCAGCAACTACAAAATAATAATATTTTTAATTACTTTTGAAAATATTCGCGATATTCAAATGGAATCAACTTTGAATGTTCCTGACTCACCACATTCTGTTCATCTTCATCCAGAATCACAACAATTAATATGGCCTGTTTTTTTTTTCTATATCCAGAGTACAAAGAGTCAGATTTTGTTGCAGCTCTTAATGAAGACACTACATTTCTTGATTATTTAGAAGTAATTTTTGAAAATCCTGCACCTAGAGGGACATTGATGGCAAATATACAGTGTGTAACAAAAAATTTTGGAAAAATTTTCACAAATTCAAACACTAATAACTTTCCCAAAATAAAAGTGATTCATTTCATGTTTTGAATATATAAAAAATATCTACTAAACTATATTAGGATACGTTTAAATTGTTTTGTTTTGTTTTGTTTTGTTTTGTTTTGTTATGAAATCAATGTCATAATGTCATCTTCTGATAAAGAAACCCAAAGAAAAGCAATATTACAATTGTGGAATAATGGAATTACTTCAGCGAAAGAAATACATTCTAGAACTGGTATCATAATGTCAACAATCTATTACAATCTTAAAAAATTAAAAGAAAAAGGTGATAATTCAAGAAAAATCAGTAGTCATCCCAAAAAAATTACTGCGAATGAATCAAAAGCAATTTGACAATATTTGCGTCATGACCCAAGACTTTCTACAAGAACTTTAGCAAGAAAATTATCAAATAATGTTGCCAACGTGTCCCATATGACAGTTTCAAGACATTTGAGAAACTTGGGCTACAAAAATAATTTGCCTTTAAAGACACCTATGCTCACTGTTGCTCACAAAGAAGCTCGTATTAGTTGGGCAACCAGACATCTCAATGATAATTGGGAGACCACTCTATTTTCTGATGAGACTGCCTTTCAGTTATTCAGAAATACAATATCCCAATGGTACAAAGGTGAAAGGCCAGTACGAAGGATTCCTAAAGATCGAACAAAAATTTTTGCATGGGGAGGATTTTGTGTACAAGGAAAAACTTCTCTTTTTTGCTTCAGAGGAATTATGAATGCAAACTTTTATATTGATATATTACAAAGACATAAGCGAGAGATCAACAGAATGCTTGGAAACAATTGGTGCTTCCAGCAAGACAATGATCCAAAGCATACAAGCAGAGTTTGTCAAACATTTTTGAATGAAAATTTTCCAGAAGTTATAGACTGGCCCTCCAATAGTCCAGATTTAAACCCAATTGAAAACCTTTGGGCAATTGTTAAAAGAAATGTAGAAATGCGCATGCCTAAAAATCTCCCAGAATTAGAGCAGTATATGATAGAAGAATGGGATAGAATTCCGAATAATATTATAATTAATCTTGTTAGTTCAATGAGAAGAAGATGTGAGATGATAATTGAAAATAATGGCGAAAGAATTAATTATTAATTTTTACATTAATAAAAACTTTAGATTTTAAGCTTTATTTTGATATATTTTTCATTCGTTTTTATATGATAGTTTTTGAAGGATGAATAAATAAAAAATTCCAAAATTTTTTGTTACACACTGAAGCAATTCTTCTTCATATACTTCTTTATCAATCAGATTGATGGAATCATTGTAGATATTTTAACCGAATCATTTGATAAAGCTGCTTTATAATATAAAGAAATTGAATAAACATTAAAGATTTTAATGCCTACTTTGATTTCTATGTCACAAAAATACAGGTTTGTTAAATCGCTCGCAAGCTTACAGATACATTATTATTACACAAATGAAAATTGTTATTGCTTTTTCAAAAGGGTCCAAGGATAGGAAAAGGAAAATTATTAACTATAAAAACAAAACTTTAATTTCTAGCTGGATTGACTACAAAGACGTAATTCAAATAATATGCCTTACCATTTTGAATTGATTCTTCGTGGGTCTTTGAAATGGATTTCCTGAAAATTATTTACAAATAAATGCAATGACATTGAGTAGATTATAGCTATCGTGAAAATGAATGGCTCTGGAGAATTGGTTGGTGGTTATAACCTAGTTTGTTGGAATTTAGAAGACAGGTTTAATTATTATTATTATATTAAAACTGATAAATGTTTTCTTTTTCAAGATTAATGAAAACAATATCAAAGAACATGTGAACACACGCAGCATATCATGATGGTTCTCAAAACATTAATAAATTAATAGACATAATGGAAGTTTGACAGATATTGATGATTTAATACTATATAATGTACTAATGATGAGAATCATTATGACTGTATTTTTTATGAAAAGAATTTGAATCTTAGAAATCAATAATAAATTTATTGGAAGAATATGAAATATATAAATTAATAAAATATATTTTTTATATCTAATATAACTAGTTATGGGAATGGACGGTTCAGCCTGGAACGGTTTAAATGCGGCTTGAACTTAACCAATGCTGTTTGGTTTACACATTTCAAGTCGTGATTTGTGATTAAGCCAGTTCAAACTCTGGTTTGAAACTGAACTAAACGTATATATTTAATTTTCATTGATCAGGGCCAACTAAAAATATAGTGAATTTTTACCCTCAAAATAAAGATATATATATATATTATTACTGCTACCATTACTGCCACTGCAATTACCAATACCAATACCAAATACCATACCTGATTCAAAACTCCAATTTGACAGCAGGTTTTCATAATATTTTTGTGAAAAAAATTTTTTTTAAGGAGAATTGATAATGCTCTCAACCTCAATAAATATTTCATCAATGATTCAACTCGAATACATGACATTACACTTATACCTTCCATTTCATAATCACCATCAATTGTTTAAATTCCTAATAATTTACAAATCATTAGAATTACTTTGAAAGTAAATGAATATTTTATGAAATTTAGAAGTTCCGTATTTGTGTCCATATTATGGGGATTGGAAAACTTCGACTGGCACTTTAAAAAATCATATCTGATGAAAATGATAGTAGTGATTAGATAAAATGCTAAAATTGTGATTGAAACTGGGTTCAAACCGTGATAGTAAACTGCTGGTTGGCATGGCTCACTAGTCAAACTGGTGGTTTATAAACTGAACCGAACAGTTCTCATCCCTAGACAAACATATGAAACAAAAAACAAACAAGTTGATAAATCCTCTATATAATGAAACATTTACCTGGGTCTCTACAGCGAGGTTTCAGTTTATACATATGCTGAATTTATTAGTAATAAATAGTAAGCATCAGCAAATTGTTATGGAGAAAATAGAAAATTTAATGTAAAATGTAGATTTAAAATTACTTAAGACCCTAAAATTTGGATAATTCAACATTAGATAATTCAGGTTTTTGTCCTTTCTTAATGCAAATTTCTTTTTTTCTGTAAAGCAGTTCTTTTATTGGGTTGGAACAGTTATCTTCCTTTTAGATAAATCACCAATCATATCATCCATTTTGTGATCACGTGCTTCGGAATAATGAAAATAAATGGACTTTAGTAAGACAATATAACGGGTATACATATTAATATGAAAAAGTTATACGAAAAAAACTTCTTGATAGATTTGTACACTCCTTTAAAGTTTTAACACCTTGGTCTGTACCAATTCTAAATTTCCACATTATAAAAATCTGATTCATATAAAAGTTTGTTAAATCAGTTACAAGCTTATTAATATGATTTAATGGTAAAATATTTCATTGGGATCTGTAAGGTGTTGTTATGTTTTATACATGAAGACAAGACATTTGTAAGTTTTTAAATTGACAATTCAACATGTGACACTAAGTCAAATCTTTTACTAATGGAATGTTCTTTTTTATTTTAAATAAATTTATATATGGGTTCCATGCTAGCAAAAAGGACCTTCGGGAAAAAAGGGGTTTTAGAGAAATCAGTTGATTTTTGTTTTTCTCCCCATTTTTCTGTCAAAACAATCCCTGATTTCTGACTCTAAAAATAAATTACTAACCCCTTTTCTGTCCCACAAAAAAATTTTTTTTATTTACAATAATTAAACAATTAAAATAATTAAACATGACAACTAGTCAAGACACTTCTCAATATTTTTATGATTTATTTGAACTTGGTTTAGAAGAATATGGTGATTACAAAAGTATTCAAGAAATTATTCATAATTTAAAAATTTTTTTTGAACATCCAACAAGTTGTACTTGCCATGTTCTTGAAAAACAAAAAAACATTAGAACTTGCTTTGAAAAAATTGGATTTAAAAAATTTTTTCAAAGACATTTTCAAATCATTAATTTAACTAACAAAGAATTAGATTTATTTTTGAAAGCACAACTTTTAGCAATGGAAATAGAAACAAAAATTTAAAGTCTTCTGAAAAAATTATTCAGAGAACAAATTATAGATTTTGCTTTAATTCAACATACTCTCTTTGCTAAACAGCATTTTTAATGTTATATAATATAAGAAATCATAAATTTAAAAATATTGTAGAACATTTACACAATGAAGGAATAAATGAATGAATTCATGGAAACACAGGAAGAGCTCCTATATATAAAACTAAAGTCAATATTGATGAAAATTTAAAATTCATTGTAAAAAATTTTCTAAATCAATATTCTTTATTACATGGATTACCTTCACCAATGAGGCATAGAAATGATTCTGGAGCATTTATTTATCTTCCTACTGATAAAAGATTTATATCTGTGTATAAAGAATTTAAAAAATTTTATTTAGAAAATATTTTGAAAATTGAATCTGAAAATGATTTAGAAGAAGAAAAAATTATTTCTTATGATTCTTTTAGAAGATTATGGAATGAACTAATGCCTAATTTAAAATTTCAGCTCTTGAAAGTGATTTATGTGATAATTGTGTCCAATTTAAATCAAAATTGCAATTAGCAAAAAGAAATATTGATGAATATAATAATGTTGAAGCTGAATTTAATGAACATAAAAAAATGGCAAACCTAGAACATGATCATTATAATAATAATATTGAATTAAGTAAAAGTGATTTGTCAATTGCACATATTTGTTATGATTGGGCACAAAATGTCACCATTCCTTATTCACCTCAGCAAGCAGGACCATTGTATTTTTTATCAGGTTATGCTGTTCACTTATTTGGAGTTTGTAAAACTGAGGGAGGAATAAATAAACAATTGAATTTTTTAATAGGAGAAGATGAACTTCCTCAAGGCACATCTAAAGGAGCAAATACTACTTTAAATTTAGTTTATCAGGCTCTGCAAATATTTGCAAAGCATGGTAAAAAAAAAATTACATATAACTTGTGATAATTGCTCTGGACAAAATAAAAATAACCCATCTCTTTGGTTTTGGACTTGGATAATAATGTTGGGTTGGTATGAGGAAATTACAATTAATTTTATGATTCCAGGACATACAAAATTTATATGTGATTCTTTTTTTGGACACAAAAAAGTTATATGGAAATAGTAAAGTTAATCAAATTAAAGACATTGAAAATATTATTAATAATTCTTCAGAAGGAAATGAATCAATACAATATAAAAATGGTTTAGGGTGAATTATTTGTAAAAAAATTTAAAACTTTACCTAATATAAAGCAATATCATCATTTTAGATTTAATAATCTGCCTGAAAACAAAGGAAAAGTATTTGCTTCAACAAAATCTGGTGGTGAGGAAAAATGGTTTAATCTTTTAAAAGATAATAAATTTAGTCATAATGAACCCATTAATATTATTCCAATTAATATAGACTTGGAAAGAAAATTATATTTATACAAAAAATTAGGAATTTTGTAGAGGAACCTCATAAGGATGTTCATTTTTCAAATCCTGATTCTAATGAAATGGAAATTAATTAAAAACAATATATTTTTTTAAAATAATAATAATAAAATTGTAAGATTATCATTTCCTTTTTTGTCATTATACAATTTTGGGGATCAAAATTCAATAAATTTTTGTAAAAGAATTATACACTTTTCTATTAATTGAATGTTGACAAAAATTATGCCAAATTATAATCATCGCTTCAAAGAATATAACAGTGTTAATAACTCATTTTGGGGTTCTTGAACCCGAAGGTCCTTTTTGCTAGCATGGAACCCATATATACACATATACATATCTTTTGAAAGAAAAAAAACAAATAATTGTTATTATATCTATAAAATACCACCTTAATTATTAAACTTTCTTGATCAATCTATATATTTCACATTCTTCCAGCAGATGAATTTTATTATTACGATTTCTAAGATTCAAATCTTTTTCATAAAAAACACCATCATCATGATTCTCATTATCAGCAAATGAATAAAAACAATAGAGTTTATTATTAGTCCTCATATATAATACTAGATTATTAAAATCTGCCAAACTTTCATGAAATCTTTTTTTGCTTATTAACTTATTAATGAATGGGCGGCCATCATGATATAATGCACACCCAGGATCCTTTACTCTACTTAATACTGAATCATTTATTTTGTTTTCTTCAATCTTGAAAATGAAACTTTCATCTGTTTCAATATAATAACAAGAACGATATACATCATTCAGATTCCAACAAACTGGGTTAAAACCACCAACCAATTCTCCAGTATCTTTAATTTTCATGATAGTTATAGTCTGTTCGACGTTATAGCACTTATTTTCAAAGACTTTTTTGGAAAATCCATCTTGAGACCCACGAAGGATCAATTCAAATTGATAAGGTATATTGTTTTGATTATATAAATCATAATCACTTTTGTAATCAATCCAGCTAGAAATCAAAGCTTTCATTTCTGTGTTTAACAATTTTCCCTTTTCAGTTCTTGGGTCTTTTTGAAAAAGCAATAATGACAATAATGACTTTGGTTGCCATTCATTTGCGTGATAGTAATGGAACAGCTCTTCATATATTTCTTTATCAATTACTTGCAAATAAGGTTTGATATAATTATGAAAATCATTTTGTAAAATTTGATTAAACCTGATTAATGGAATTACATCCTTTAATATATTTTTCAATTCGATCAAACCATCTTTACTCCATTCCAAAATATTTCTTTTATTCCCCAACATTTCATTTTGTCCAATACCCCATTCGATGATATTATTCCAAATATCAATCTCATCTAGTATTATATCATCACGCATCAATAAAAATAAAAGTGTTGTTTTTTCAATTGCAACAACATCTTCAGATTTTAGAAATAGTTCTGGCTTATAATTAATTAATTCCTTAAAATAATCTTGAAGTAAGTTAAATGATTGACTTTTGAATGATATGTTATAAAAATAATTTATGTTCTGATGAATCCATTTTTTTTCCTTTTTGATTAAATTTTTTTGTAAATCATCAATCAACTCATTGAAATTTAATTCATCACAAGCTTCAAGTAATTCAATAATTTCATCATGATCCAGATTAATCATATTAATAGTTCCATTGTAAATATAGCTTTAAATAACAAAAAGAACTAATTTTATCAATATAACCTTTACAATGTATATTATTGTAAAACAACAAATTAATTAAAAAAGCAAATAAAATTAATCTTACGTCAAAAGTATTTCAAATATATTTGGAGATAAATTTTCTTTTTCAAACAAAATAACACCATCTCCGGAATTTTTTACCCAATTGTTTGATAATGCTGCCCTGAAATAAGAAGACCTTGCTTTTAAAATAGTAGAATGAACTTTAAAAGTTTTTACATCTTCATCTGCTCCAATTTTAATTTCCATATCATAAAAATCTGACCCATACAATAAGCTTGTTAAATCAGTCACAAGCTTACCAATATATTTTAATGGTGAAGCATTGCTATTAGAAATGATAAGGTTGTCTAATAATGTTACTATATTTTCAGAAAATTTAGTCATTTTTGTTTTTGTTTCACGAGCCTTGTTTTGTTACGTAGCAGAACTTTAAAAATTGTAAGTGCTGCGCAGACAACCTCGTTCCAATTTGTAGTGATCATCCATCATTTAACAAATAATGGAGTGTAGATATTGTTCTTGTTTGAATTATAAAGGAATTCCTTTGTTTCCTCTGATATAATCGAATTAAAACCAGTTGCAACATAAATTCGGGTTCAATTTTTTCATATTCGAAAAACTTTATTAAATTTTTGGATGGCTTAGTCGATTATTCTTTTCAGCAAGAAATTTAAAATTTGTCATACCAAAATTACTAATCGCGTTTAATTATAATTCATTGAAACAAGATTTAAAACGAGGTTTGACTGTATATACTATTTATTATGTTATGTGGCAATAACGTCATGAGAACAATGCAGGTAAGTAGTGCAAGTGTAATAACATGTTTGTATGTAATTATTGATAGACATGTGTATAAGCAATTCGAATTCCTATAATTGTAAAATAACCTATTTCGTCTGGTCCTCATCGATTAAACTCACACAAAATTAAATTTTACAAATTAGATTATCAGTAACGCGTGTAATTATCAATTGCAAACCGGTTTTGTGATTTATTAATATAGTAATAGTAATAGTAGCGAGCTTTCTCTGTGATTGACTAATAATAATGCATAAAAAAATTTATATAAAATAGGAAAACTCTATTTTTTTTTTTTTTTTTTTTACCCTTAACGATGAGGTAATGTCACGTAATTTTATTTATTGTAGGACAATGAAAATACATGAGTTACATAAAAAAAAAGAAAATGACTGCCCCCTAGTAAACTAATTAGTTCACTATGAAACCAACCTTTCACCGTTACCTACTAAATCAGGCCCAAAAAGGTATTAAGATTTAAACACCTGACATTCAAACATAGATAAAAGCAAATGGTTATTACCCATTATAATAATCTAAAAGGAAACCACCTGATGCAATTGCATGTTCTATACCCTCAGAACCATTTGATAAATTGTTTGTATCTCTATTTAAACTACTAGAGGAGTTGTTAGTAGGATTTTTATTGTATTTATTTTTTATTTTTTTTTCTTTTTTAGTAATATTTAATGAGGTTTCTAATTTAATCATTTCTTCACATCTGGGTTTCCAAATACGCTCCATGATTTTTAAATATATATTGTTCATAATGATAGATGTGATTTTGGTAGTGATTTTTGAGTTTGTGGTATGATTTTGTATTTTGTTGGTAATGAAAGAAGGAACAATACCCTTGATCATGTCAATAAATGTGAGATTGTTCTGGTTGCTATCAACAGACCATATAGTGCTATGTTCTATGAGAATAGGAAAATTATTATTGTTTTTCTTGTTATTCTTGATTTGGTTGTATAGCTCTTTCTTTGTTTCATGACAGATTTGTTGTACTTTCTGTTTGTTTTGAGGACAAGACCAGACATGATTGAAATCTTCTTTTTCATTGTGGCAGAGAATACAATTCCAATGTTTATACAAATCTAGCCTTCTTTTTTTTACATGTTCCAATGTTGGTATTTCTTCTAGCATAAATTTGACTTTGGAAGCTTTACGATTTGAGCTGAAAAAGGATGTTTCATTGGAAGTTTCATCATTATTCAATGAAAAAAAAGTGTTACTCCAGTCTATGTTGCATTCTCGATATTTTCTATTTCTATATAAGTTGTACCATTCTGCAAAGCCTTTATTATATGAGATATGTTTGATAAAATGACGTAGATGGGTATCAATAATTATGTTTTTCCATTTTGGCTCATATTTAACATGAGAGGATGTTGTGATAAAGGAAAGAGTGGGGAGATTCAAAGCAACCTTAGCAGAAGCATCTACTCTTTCATTATATATGTTTCCTGTGTGTGCTTTTATCTTTCTAAATGATAATGTAATATTATTGATTTTGATAATATCATATAATATTGACCAAAAAATATTACAATAATATTATTAAAACTGTTAATTATGATCACATTGCAAATGACTAAATTTTGATCCCTGAAATCCTTGGTAAATACCACTTTGTCTGGTTTTGTAAAGAAATACATTTGTATTCTATTAAATTTTATTATATTCACGAATATGTATAAAGTTTTATTTTTGCATGTTTTGAGATAAAAAAATTTTAAATTTAAAAAAATCACGACTTATCGAGTTTACATATGTACATTTATGAATAAATACACGAAAATAAAAAGTACCTCTCACTATTAATAAACAACAGGTCTTCAGAACAAGCTCTATCAAAGTAATATCCATGTTTCCCTAAAAGAAAAAATCAACAGGGGAGATGGAAGAAGAAACAATAGGAAGGACCATTAGGATTTTCTTTAGAAAATTCTCTAGAAGAAATAGTTGTCATTTTTAAAAAATATGATAATGATCAAAGAAACGCTAATCCAGAATACAAAACAATATTTTCCGACTTCCTAACACTATCTTCCAACGAAGGTGATACTATAGCTGATAGTGACTCATCTAATACTATAGGCAACATTGACACCAATACAATCATAGTAGATGATGATGGTGAGTGGAGGAAGGAGAGAGGAGAACGTTACAGCGACAAGTTATCTCGGGTTAAATTTATAAGAACATTTGCTGATTATATAACACTTTCATCTTACTTTTTAAAAAAATTATTTGTTCCTATTTAATGATAATGATGATAATGTACAGTAGAGTCTGTCTAAAAGCATAGAATTTTCGGCCCAAGTTAGGCCATATGTGTTATAAGTATACTGCATATTGTTTGTATATAAGCATAAAAAAATTCTAAACTTAATACAGGTCACTCCGTTATAATAACGCTCCTGGGACAAGCAAAAAATGTCCGTATAATGGATGTTCTTATTATTATAATAATAATAATAACGGGAGTTCATCTAATAAAATCACGTGACTCATAAAAAGGCTATATAACACCTTTAGGGAATTGATTGGTGTGAGAAAAAAACCTTTTTTATTTTAGTTTTTTTTTGACAGTAAAAAATTGACCAGGCCTTTTTGGGAATAACTAAACATTTAAAAATATTTAGTAATTGCGTACTTGATGTAAAAGAATAGTAATTGATCTTTTTTTTATAAATATGTATATTCAACAATAAACATGTTAACTGATTTTTATTTTAAAAAAAAATCATGAATTTTGTGACATCATAAACATATAAATGCAAAACCTGCTTTTTAAGAATAACCTGCAGTTTACTATCTAAAAATTTTCTTACGTCGCAGCATAGGATTTTTTCTTGGCTTGACAGTATGCTTATAGACGGATTCTGCTGTAATTAACATTGGGAAGGTGCACTTTAGGCATCATGGAAAAAATTTTAAAATTTAAAAAAAAAGGTTATGGTTAAAATGTTAAAGTGAAGCGACTTTTTTAAATCTTATTTGAATACATTTCACCAAGTTCAAACGATTATATATATATATATTCCTATTCATAAGCTTAAGCTTAAGCCATGGTTGGAATTTGGTCACAGCTAAACAATTCCTTGGCCGTTTGGTCAGCCAAAGCAGCCAAATTTTTTCAATTTTAACGACATTGATATAAAATTGTCATATCTACTTTATTAGCCAAAACGGCCAAACAGCCAAATGCCAACATTGGCTTAAGCTACTCGCTCAAAAAATATCCATTTTGAAAAAGGTTTGAAATGAATATGTTTTGCAAGAGGAGATTTCCTCAATTACTGGCCCAGCTGCGCCAGTAATCGATAGTGAAATAATAATACAGGAAATAAATATAAACAGACACTTCAAAAAGAAATGATTAGGATTATCAATTAAAAAAATTTTTATTGGAATCAATTGTATATACATAAAATTAAAAATTATATTATCAATTCCTCACAAATTGGATTTTAAATAAAAAACATGTTGATCGATCGAATCTGTTTAAATCTGTTAAAATCCAATTCAACAAATTACGAGAAAATAAATAAAATAATAATACAAGAAAAATGGATGTATTTTTTACCTAAAAAATATTTACAAAAATAACAACCATGTTAAATACTATATGTTACTAATGAACTTTTATATATTAATTATTTAAAGGAACTAATAAAGGAAAATCTTCAACCCAACGAATTGTAAAATCTCGTATAGCAACATTTGGTAAATGAGCAAACGTTTGATAAAATGATTTATTTATAAAAGGTCTATCAAATGGATAACCCATTGGATGTTTATCAGGATATTTATCTCTCCATTTTCTACCACCACATAATAATTGACTTCCACATGTTGGAGCAACAGGAATCATATCATCTTTACCATCTGATACATAAACCATCATTTTAAATCGAAGACCTTCCTTCGTTCCTCTTGGAATCACCATATGGTATGGCCAACCACAACCACAAAATATCGCTTCAGATTGTTTATCTAATGTTAATTGGTCTAGTGAATTCACGTAATCAGGTGTCATCTGGGTGGATTTTTCCATTTGTCTAATAGTCTTTTGTGCTGGTTTACGTATACCAATTGACTGGTCGCAATCTTGTGATATTATGGTTTTCTCATATGGTTTCAATATTCTTTTGAATTTGTCAAGTTCTATCCAGTGAACATACGAATCCATAAATACCTCTGGAACGATAAAAACTCTAAACGTTACTGGCAATGACTTAATATTTGATTGATGGAGTAAAATGGGAAAGAGGATGGAAACGGGTTTTTATTAATATATAATTCTACATAATGATAACATCAGAGTATCAAAGTATTGTTTTAAAGTTCATTTACTTACTTTAGATGATAGATTTTCAATACGGAAGAAAGTAAAGAATTCTCTCGGGTACATAAACTCAATGATTTCTTTATCATTGGTATCTTCAAGCCAAACATGAACTCTTTGTTTCATAGTAGTTTGTAATTCGTTGGTGAATCCGGTAACATTTACCAATGTTTTATCAAAATTATTACCACCGATTGTTTTCTTGGCATATTTAACCCATCCATTATGATCACCATCTTTATCAAGATTAAATAGCTCGTCTTTAAATGCAAGGAAAATGTCATTATTTCCAATTTTTATTGGTGGGATATCATTACTGAACATGTTCAAGCCTAATCTAGTTTGCCATCTAACATAAATATCATCAATGTGACGATGCCATCTCCAAAATAATGGATCACGACACCCTGCACGAGCACCAACCAAAACACCTGGTGGAGCATTAGTATCATTGGGAGCCATAACGCGACCAAGCATTGCGTGCCCAACATTATGTAATACGTCTTCAATGACAGCACCTAAATCAGTATTTCCATTAGGGTCATTTAATAAGTTAGATGGGTTAAGATAAGTCTCTTCGCCATCAATCCATTTTTCCAATGTTATCAAAGCATTTTCCAATTCTTTAAGTGTATATGATGTATCGTCTTTACGATTATCCTGTGTCATAACAACTAAAATAATCAAAAACAATAATAATTAACATTATCATTATTATTATTATTATTATTATTATTATTATTATTATTATATTACGATTAAATAAGAAATCCAATTATTATTTATTGATTCGTTTATTAACCTGTATCATGAAAAACTTGACCAGGTGGACGAGATGGAAAGTGAACAACTTTATTATTAACGATTTCATATAAATGGGAAGGTGGATAAAAAGCATCAGGTATAGGTTCTCGATAATTTGGTAAAGCTGCGACTTTTGCTACTCCAAGTGCATAACGTTCAGCATCATATCTAAAAAATAAAAAAATGATTAAACATATATAAAATATCTTCTAATATATATATATATATCCATCAATACCACTACCAATGAAAGATGTTAATTAATTACCTTGCTAACATGAATCTGTGCATATAAATAAAATTTTCTCCTTCTCTATCTTTATATGTACCGTTAACTGGACTATTAACAAAAACTACATGCCAATGTTCATGATGGACATTAATAAGTGGATCATTTCTCCACCAATACAAAGCATCTTTTACTGGAACTGTTTTGTTAACTTTAACATTTTCTATATTTGTTGTTGGTGATGATGATGGTGATGGTGATGACGATGGTGGTGATGACGATGGTGGTGGTGACGACGATGATGGTGGTGGTGATGATGATTGTTTTTCAATCGAATTAGTGGTACTAATCGATGGCGTAGTTGAAGTATCGGGTTGTCTAATTGGTGGAGGTGAAGGTGTAGGTGTAGATGACGACACCGATGATTGTTTTTCTGGTTTTCTTTTTAACGGTTCAACTATACTTCGTTTTTTGAATTTGACATTTTCATAATCTTCATAATCTTCATTTTCATCATCATCATTTTCGTTTGCATATACTTCCACATCTCTTTTATTAAATTTGCTTCTAGGAACAAAATACATTAAATTATAACGTCGATGTAATTCTTGATCGAAGGATTCTAATTCAGTATCATCATAGCCATCGTCGTATATATCATTGATTAATGCTCCTCTTGACTTTAGTTTCGAGCATAGTAGCTAATCGATTAAAGAATTGAATTAATTATTAAAGTGTTGGGAATGGATGGATGGATAATTAGAAAGAATGTTACTCACCAATGAAGCAAGTTTACCTCCATCCTGAATTTGTGCGAGTTCGTTTAGACATCGATTTGATGTAGCAATTGACATTAATTTAAAAAAATTTTTTTTTAAATGGTAAAAAAATAATTATGATTTTTAAAAAAAATTTCTCGTTTAAAACATAAAGAAGGAAGAAAAAAAATAGGATTACTATAGTATTATCCTTTTTATTTATAAGGTGGCTGTGAGGTTAAATTATTGTCAAAGAAATCTTATTTGTTTTTTAAATGACCTGATTTATTTTGTTTTGATACAAACTATTAAACATTCATCAACATCATAATAATTATACTAATAAGGAGTGTGGCTGGCTTATTTTTATCGATGGCTTTTTACAATAAACAAAAATCCAAAGCCATTACATTAAATCATTTATCCAAATTAATCAATTGCACTTAAAAAAATCAATGAATAAATAATTACTATTTAAATATATTTAACAAAAAAAAAAGTTACTCCCTGGAATTCTTTTAAAATAAAGACTGGGAGTTACACAAACCATCAATAAAAAGGCTTACGCTGAACCATTTATAACCGACCAAGCCTTTTAGGCAATCCTATTTTTTACTGAAATCCTTCCTAACTTCCTTCACTATAACGATCCATACTATTATTTTTCAATTTTAGGATTCAAATCACGATTCAATGACATCACTCATATTATATCAATCATTAAAATTTTTACGCTTTATTAGTATTGTTAAAAAAATACTTTCTCAGACAGAATGTGATTGATTATATCCGAATTCGAGGAAAAATTTTATATAATAAATTCATCAATTATCGAGACAATAATAATAGTATTCAACACAATTCAAATTATGACCCTTGCAATTACACTCCGTCAAGAAAAACAAACAATGAATTATATATGGCTGCCTCCGGTACTTATGGTTAGTCCTCGTTAAAAGGATGTTTTCATGCCGATTTTATGTCGCTTGTTTTAAAAATTTGCTCGTTCTTCTTGTTCCCGACATAAATTTTATTTGAGTTTAGAATGAGGCAATAAATGATTTGCATGAAAGTTTGTGAAAAAAAAAGTCCCTTTATGGTATGGACTTTATAAATAAAATCTATTTATTATCGTGAGTTGCTTTGCATCATCTTGGACATGTTTATTAAATTACTAATTGTTTTCAAAATCCTTGGTAACTAATTGCAGAATTGTCTGGTGGCCTCTTTATCAGAAATAACCACCTACCATTTCCGTTTCTTCCTCTTCATCAGAATTATCAGTTACTGTAATTCTTATGCTGGTTGTTACTTCTTCATCAATGTAAATAAAACTTTCTGCGGTAATTGGGATCTTGCAGATTTAATTCATCAATCGAAACTTGTAAAATTTAGAAATTTCAACATTAATACAAGAAATTTGATTCAAACTTATTGCTTCTTCGGTGTCAGGTAAGATTTTTTCTCGATTTATTTATAATTTACGTTTATCCGTGTTTCATTCACAAAATTATTTCATCGACGATAATTTGTTGCGAATTAATAATAAATAATTTATCATTGCCCTTGATTTTTTTTATTTTAATTCACTCACCATAAGAATTTTTATTTAATATCGAATCTGCTCGCTGGTTGATCACATTTGTGGCTAATGCTAAACAATTTGACTACTACTGTTGCACGGAACCGGTTTGAACATTTGAAATCGTGAATAGATGTGTATATAGATTATATAGATTAATATAGATTAATATGTAGAAGAAGAAGCTTGAGAAATTTGTGAAACACAAATTTTTAATTAGTATAAATAAAAATAAACAGTATATATTTTTATTATTGTAATTTCTCACTTGGGAAAAAAAAATGACGGTTATCAATTCGTTACCGAATGAATGCTTTCAAGAAATATTCGAGCATGTTAGCAATCAAGGACCCGGATTATTTTCAAGCCTTTTGGTTAATAAAATATGGTGCATAAATGTCGTATATGTGTTATGGAGTAGACCGTTCGAAAAGAAATACAAGTTTGTAAAAACACCAATCATCATTCAAACATATTTGAGATTTTTAAGCATAGAAGATAGAAAAGAAATTGAAACTCTAATCAATAAAAACACTCATAGCGAAAGTGACGGAGGAGGATACGATGTAGAGTTAACAAGAAAACCATTGTTTGATTACCCAAAATATTTAAAAGAACTTGATTTTCAAGTCTTCGTCCACAAAATTGTTGAATGGGCCGGAACTAAAAACAAAAAACTTAGAAATCAAGATAACTACAATGATATCATAAGTCTGATTATCGACCAATTAATCAGATTGTTTTCTAGAAAATCTAACAATTTAGATTATTTAAGTTATTGCGCTTCAAGGAGTTGGTCAAAAGCACCAAATTTTGAGTTTCTTAATGATGATGATAATAATAATAGCATAAGTAGCATTAACAATGAAGGAAATGTAAATTTTCTAATTAATTTGACACAATTTCAATTTCATATCTGGAATTTAAATGATGATGATGATGGAAACATTGTAAAATTTGTCAATTTGGTCGGTTCATCTAGTAAGAAAATAAGAAAGTTAGATATTTCTTATGGAGATGACAAAGAAGAAAATATAACAAATTCAATCATTGAATTGATCAAAAAGCAAAGAAACCTTTATGATATCTTAATAAAACGTCACTCTAATAACATATCATCGCTGATTAAAGCTTTAGAATGTCAGTCAAATAGTTTAAGATCTTTATCTATAAAAGATGCAATATTCGATATTGAAGATTTCAAAATTTTATCTAAATTCAGAAACATTTATCAACTTGCCATGGAAAATTGTGCCCCATCATCAAAAGATTTCAAAAATAGTTTAGCAGATTCAAATTTTAGTTTTAAAAACTTGGATTTTGGATTTTATAAAATGGATAGAGATTATTATCCCAAATATCAAAATGAATTTATTAAATCAAGCGGCAAGAATTGCAAAAGATTGATAACTAATTTCTTTACCGTCGAGATTGGGAACGCAATCATCAATCATTGTGACAACATAGAAGAATTTAAAATTATTGGCATTTTAACACCATGTTATCCAATAGTGATTAGAGTATTAAATAATTTTAAAAATTCACTAAAAAAGCTTTCATTAAGATTTGATAGTAATCCAATGGAGGAGGTTAATCTCATAAATTTATTAAAAAACAACTTGCCACTGAATTTAGAATATCTAAGAATAGTAATTAATAATGAAGGTGATTTGAAGGAACTCTCCGATTTATTATCATCCAATGAGATTGCGTCTTTAAATACTCTAATTATTCAGAATAATAACCATAAACACGAGACTGAAATATTAAAAATCATTTTAAATTTCGTAAATAATAATAAAATTTCTACTTTGAAAACCTTGGGAATGAATTACAAAAAGAGAGATGATGAGAAAGAAGCAATAGAATTAAATAGAAAATTGGTCGAAGATTATAAAATCCAAATTTATCATATTGAGGATTTAAAAACTTGGTTTTAAATTCTTGGATATTTTTTATTTATTTACCATATATGTATATGTGTGTGTGTGTATATATATATATATACATATATAATACTATAAATATGTGTGTGTATAAAATATATTAAATACGAACAAAAAATTTATTATTATTATTATTATGTTGCTAGAGGTAACTTCCAATATGTTTTACTATTGCAAATACCAAGTTGTGTGGTAGATATTATTATTGTTTGTTAAATGGACACTTTCGACAATAATAAAACTCGTAAGGTATCATCGTAACGCACTTCCAACCTAGTGTAGTCTTTAACACATTGGTGCTTTGCGTCTTTTTTAATTGATCTCTCTCATTGTGTATACACTCGATTATTAGAAACGAATAGGGATGTTAAATGGTCGGTTCGGTTTAAAAACCGTGTTAGACCGGTTTGAACCGTGGTTTGTCGATCATATACTAAGATCTGATTGGCCAATTTTAATAACCGTTGTTGATCACATACTTTTAAATATGAGTGGTTAATTTTAAACAACGATTTTTAATATAATATACATATACATGCAATACTTTTACTGTAAGCTTTGATAATTCTTTTGCAATTAAATTATGATGATTTTCAAATATTTGATAAATTTGATTTTGTAAAGATTGACGTGTTGGTAAGATATACCATGAATCAAAGATATTGCATAATTTTTTAAACCAAAAATTTCCTATAACTGAAAATGGCATTTGAAACCCAACAATAAAATTAATAACAGCATCTGTACATTCTTTTATTCTTTTATTATCATTTTCTTTATATGGTTTTTGTAATTGATTTGTTGTAGAAAGAATATTACTATGTTCTTTTGTTAAATGATCCATAAGTGGTCATGTTGATGATTTTTTTGCATAATTTTTTTAACATAGACTACAAACAATTCTTATAACTTCATTTTGACTATTACATTTTTTATACATAAAAATTCCAAACCGCAGATGTTGTTTTACTTTTATTACTTAAAGATATATTTTCCATTGCAGGATGTGAGCAAATATTATTAATTGAAGATAGACTTTCAAATATTTGTTATATTATCTAAAATAGAGTCATTGTCATCATTGTCATCATCGTTTTCTTGTTCTATTAATTTAAAGCATGTTGATAGTCTAGATTATATTGAACATCTGTAATAAACTCATTAATTACATCTGAGTTAAATTGATTAATTTCAAACTCAGGAAAATTATTGTTGTTGTCAGAAAAATCATTGTCATTAAACATTATATGTAAAGAATTACTTCAAAAACGAATTAAACAATTTTGTAGTAGAGGTTACAAATTTCAAGATGACAATGCACCAGTACATACAGCAAGGAATGTACAAAATTGGATAAAGAAAAGAAAATAAATGTATTGACTGATTTGCCATCTCAATCACCTGATCTTAATCCAATTGAGCATTTATGGAGTGAATTGGAACAGAGACTGAAAAAACAAGAAAATTATCCAAAAAATGCAACAGAATTGGAGGTTGCAATTAAAGAAGAATGGTCTCAAATCCCTCAGAGTGTATTAAATAACCTTATTGAACAACATCGTCTGAATATTTTTTGGAGGGCAGTGTATATAGAACAAAGTTTCAATCTTCATACACACAACATGTATAATCTTTTTTATTATTATTAAAAAAACCAAACTAACAAATCATTAATACTAGTCTCTGATTCAGGCGTATATACATCACTATCATCATTTTCACTTCTTCACTGACATCATCTTCATTTTCATCATCTTCCTGTTTTAAAAAAAAATTTATTTTGTGTTACATTTTATTACTATATATATGTACATGTTCATGATTCCAAAAATTACGTGCGCACGATGCGCGTGACATGCGTACTGGAACATATCTAAGAACAAAAATTTCTTTTATATAAAAAAATTTCAGTTGGAGAATGAATGTGTTACATCCTGGACCACATGATATACAACTCAATCCAACCCTATTTTCAACTCATTGTAAATGCATGCCTATATCATCAATTAATAAAAATGCTCAACTTATTGAAATACACTTTGAAGATCATTGCCATACCAATTATAATAAGTAGAGCCTCTCTATAAAAGGTTAAACATTAAAAAATTTTCCCGAACTGAAGTAAATGCCATCTATCAATTAAAAAGTATAGATAAATATGAATGATAGTGATAGTAAAATAAAAGATGGAATTGAAATCATTGTTATTTCAGAAGAAAAAAAACTAAAGCAAATAAATTATTTCAAGGTTATATTATATTTATATATACAAGAATTTTTGCTTGTTTGATAAGAATTACATATAAATATTGACAAGTAAATTGATTAAATTTAATATCAGAAAAAAATATGAAGCTGCAATAACTAAATATACAGAGGTCATTGATTTAAACCCCAATGTTGTGGCTTATTATGCAAATTGATCTTTTTCTTATATCAAAACTGAAACATACAAATATGCAGAATTAGCAATAAAAATTGATCCAACATATACAAAGGTATTTATAATATAGGCATTATAAAAGAAATATTTAAAATATTACAGTATTATGTTAATATTCATTTTTTATTTTTTATTCTTCTTTGTTGGTATAGGAGCACTATAGAAGAGCAGTAGCAAACATGGAACTTTGTAGATTAGAAATGCCCTTTGAGATTTTTGAATAGTTAGTGGAATATCATGCAATTTTTTTCATTTTGAAATGATATTAATAATTCGTCATTGTATAAAAATATTTTGATAGGTTAATAAAAGATTCCAAGTAATACAAATGCAGAAGCTGGTTTAAAAAAATGTGAAAAAATTGTAAAAAAAAAAAAGAAATTTGAAAAGCTATTTTGGTATTTATGGATTTAATTATTTAAGTAATTAATTTTAAAATTTTTTGATTAAATTAATTTCGGGGTTTTTTTTATTTTAATTCTACAGGTAGATCATAAATCTATACTAGATTCATTGGATTTGGACTCAATAAGTAATATTTAGTTTTTGTGTATAAATATTTATTTGAACATGAAGTCATTATCTAATAATTATATATCTGATAATTTTGATTTGCAATGACACTTGTAGAATCATCATATGATGGACCTAAATTACAAAATGATAAAATCACATTAGAATTTGTCAAAGAAATGTTAGATTATTTCAAAGATCAAAGAAAATTCATCAAAAATATGCATATAAGGTATCATTATTATTTCTATCACCTCTATTAATAAATTAAATGTTTCATTAATCAATCACTTTAATCAATAGATTATTTTATCAGGTAAGAAATTTGATGTTAAAAGTCTCATCATTAGTAGACATCGATATTCCAAAAGATTCTAAAATCACAGTTTGTGGAGATATTCATGGTATGATATTTATGATAATACATTATGTATTAATATATTTTGATGTATTTTTACACTATTGATTGATGTTTTTCTCTCTTTTTAAAAAAATTTATATAAAAGGACAATTTTATGATCTATTAAATATCTTTGATCTTAATGGTCTACCATCTACAAATAACATGTATTTTTTCAATGGTGAGCAAAAAGGACCTTCGGGAAAAAAGGGGTTTTAGAGAAATCAGTTGATTTTTGTTTTTCTCCCCATTTTTCTGTCAAAACAATCCCTGATTTCTGACTCTAAAAATAAATTACTAACCCCTTTTCTGTCCCACAAAAAAATTTTTTTTATTTACAATAATTAAACAATTAAAATAATTAAACATGACAACTAGTCAAGACACTTCTCAATATTTTTATGATTTATTTGAACTTGGTTTAGAAGAATATGGTGATTACAAAAGTATTCAAGAAATTATTCATAATTTAAAAATTTTTTTTGAACATCCAACAAGTTGTACTTGCCATGTTCTTGAAAAACAAAAAAACATTAGAACTTGCTTTGAAAAAATTGGATTTAAAAAATTTTTTCAAAGACATTTTCAAATCATTAATTTAACTAACAAAGAATTAGATTTATTTTTGAAAGCACAACTTTTAGCAATGGAAATAGAAACAAAAATTTAAAGTCTTCTGAAAAAATTATTCAGAGAACAAATTATAGATTTTGCTTTAATTCAACATACTCTCTTTGCTAAACAGCATTTTTAATGTTATATAATATAAGAAATCATAAATTTAAAAATATTGTAGAACATTTACACAATGAAGGAATAAATGAATGAATTCATGGAAACACAGGAAGAGCTCCTATATATAAAACTAAAGTCAATATTGATGAAAATTTAAAATTCATTGTAAAAAATTTTCTAAATCAATATTCTTTATTACATGGATTACCTTCACCAATGAGGCATAGAAATGATTCTGGAGCATTTATTTATCTTCCTACTGATAAAAGATTTATATCTGTGTATAAAGAATTTAAAAAATTTTATTTAGAAAATATTTTGAAAATTGAATCTGAAAATGATTTAGAAGAAGAAAAAATTATTTCTTATGATTCTTTTAGAAGATTATGGAATGAACTAATGCCTAATTTAAAATTTCAGCTCTTGAAAGTGATTTATGTGATAATTGTGTCCAATTTAAATCAAAATTGCAATTAGCAAAAAGAAATATTGATGAATATAATAATGTTGAAGCTGAATTTAATGAACATAAAAAAATGGCAAACCTAGAACATGATCATTATAATAATAATATTGAATTAAGTAAAAGTGATTTGTCAATTGCACATATTTGTTATGATTGGGCACAAAATGTCACCATTCCTTATTCACCTCAGCAAGCAGGACCATTGTATTTTTTATCAGGTTATGCTGTTCACTTATTTGGAGTTTGTAAAACTGAGGGAGGAATAAATAAACAATTGAATTTTTTAATAGGAGAAGATGAACTTCCTCAAGGCACATCTAAAGGAGCAAATACTACTTTAAATTTAGTTTATCAGGCTCTGCAAATATTTGCAAAGCATGGTAAAAAAAAAATTACATATAACTTGTGATAATTGCTCTGGACAAAATAAAAATAACCCATCTCTTTGGTTTTGGACTTGGATAATAATGTTGGGTTGGTATGAGGAAATTACAATTAATTTTATGATTCCAGGACATACAAAATTTATATGTGATTCTTTTTTTGGACACAAAAAAGTTATATGGAAATAGTAAAGTTAATCAAATTAAAGACATTGAAAATATTATTAATAATTCTTCAGAAGGAAATGAATCAATACAATATAAAAATGGTTTAGGGTGAATTATTTGTAAAAAAATTTAAAACTTTACCTAATATAAAGCAATATCATCATTTTAGATTTAATAATCTGCCTGAAAACAAAGGAAAAGTATTTGCTTCAACAAAATCTGGTGGTGAGGAAAAATGGTTTAATCTTTTAAAAGATAATAAATTTAGTCATAATGAACCCATTAATATTATTCCAATTAATATAGACTTGGAAAGAAAATTATATTTATACAAAAAATTAGGAATTTTGTAGAGGAACCTCATAAGGATGTTCATTTTTCAAATCCTGATTCTAATGAAATGGAAATTAATTAAAAACAATATATTTTTTTAAAATAATAATAATAAAATTGTAAGATTATCATTTCCTTTTTTGTCATTATACAATTTTGGGGATCAAAATTCAATAAATTTTTGTAAAAGAATTATACACTTTTCTATTAATTGAATGTTGACAAAAATTATGCCAAATTATAATCATCGCTTCAAAGAATATAACAGTGTTAATAACTCATTTTGGGGTTCTTGAACCCGAAGGTCCTTTTTGCTAGCATGGAACCCATATATACACATATACATATCTTTTGAAAGAAAAAAAACAAATAATTGTTATTATATCTATAAAATACCACCTTAATTATTAAACTTTCTTGATCAATCTATATATTTCACATTCTTCCAGCAGATGAATTTTATTATTACGATTTCTAAGATTCAAATCTTTTTCATAAAAAACACCATCATCATGATTCTCATTATCAGCAAATGAATAAAAACAATAGAGTTTATTATTAGTCCTCATATATAATACTAGATTATTAAAATCTGCCAAACTTTCATGAAATCTTTTTTTGCTTATTAACTTATTAATGAATGGGCGGCCATCATGATATAATGCACACCCAGGATCCTTTACTCTACTTAATACTGAATCATTTATTTTGTTTTCTTCAATCTTGAAAATGAAACTTTCATCTGTTTCAATATAATAACAAGAACGATATACATCATTCAGATTCCAACAAACTGGGTTAAAACCACCAACCAATTCTCCAGTATCTTTAATTTTCATGATAGTTATAGTCTGTTCGACGTTATAGCACTTATTTTCAAAGACTTTTTTGGAAAATCCATCTTGAGACCCACGAAGGATCAATTCAAATTGATAAGGTATATTGTTTTGATTATATAAATCATAATCACTTTTGTAATCAATCCAGCTAGAAATCAAAGCTTTCATTTCTGTGTTTAACAATTTTCCCTTTTCAGTTCTTGGGTCTTTTTGAAAAAGCAATAATGACAATAATGACTTTGGTTGCCATTCATTTGCGTGATAGTAATGGAACAGCTCTTCATATATTTCTTTATCAATTACTTGCAAATAAGGTTTGATATAATTATGAAAATCATTTTGTAAAATTTGATTAAACCTGATTAATGGAATTACATCCTTTAATATATTTTTCAATTCGATCAAACCATCTTTACTCCATTCCAAAATATTTCTTTTATTCCCCAACATTTCATTTTGTCCAATACCCCATTCGATGATATTATTCCAAATATCAATCTCATCTAGTATTATATCATCACGCATCAATAAAAATAAAAGTGTTGTTTTTTCAATTGCAACAACATCTTCAGATTTTAGAAATAGTTCTGGCTTATAATTAATTAATTCCTTAAAATAATCTTGAAGTAAGTTAAATGATTGACTTTTGAATGATATGTTATAAAAATAATTTATGTTCTGATGAATCCATTTTTTTTCCTTTTTGATTAAATTTTTTTGTAAATCATCAATCAACTCATTGAAATTTAATTCATCACAAGCTTCAAGTAATTCAATAATTTCATCATGATCCAGATTAATCATATTAATAGTTCCATTGTAAATATAGCTTTAAATAACAAAAAGAACTAATTTTATCAATATAACCTTTACAATGTATATTATTGTAAAACAACAAATTAATTAAAAAAGCAAATAAAATTAATCTTACGTCAAAAGTATTTCAAATATATTTGGAGATAAATTTTCTTTTTCAAACAAAATAACACCATCTCCGGAATTTTTTACCCAATTGTTTGATAATGCTGCCCTGAAATAAGAAGACCTTGCTTTTAAAATAGTAGAATGAACTTTAAAAGTTTTTACATCTTCATCTGCTCCAATTTTAATTTCCATATCATAAAAATCTGACCCATACAATAAGCTTGTTAAATCAGTCACAAGCTTACCAATATATTTTAATGGTGAAGCATTGCTATTAGAAATGATAAGGTTGTCTAATAATGTTACTATATTTTCAGAAAATTTAGTCATTTTTGTTTTTGTTTCACGAGCCTTGTTTTGTTACGTAGCAGAACTTTAAAAATTGTAAGTGCTGCGCAGACAACCTCGTTCCAATTTGTAGTGATCATCCATCATTTAACAAATAATGGAGTGTAGATATTGTTCTTGTTTGAATTATAAAGGAATTCCTTTGTTTCCTCTGATATAATCGAATTAAAACCAGTTGCAACATAAATTCGGGTTCAATTTTTTCATATTCGAAAAACTTTATTAAATTTTTGGATGGCTTAGTCGATTATTCTTTTCAGCAAGAAATTTAAAATTTGTCATACCAAAATTACTAATCGCGTTTAATTATAATTCATTGAAACAAGATTTAAAACGAGGTTTGACTGTATATACTATTTATTATGTTATGTGGCAATAACGTCATGAGAACAATGCAGGTAAGTAGTGCAAGTGTAATAACATGTTTGTATGTAATTATTGATAGACATGTGTATAAGCAATTCGAATTCCTATAATTGTAAAATAACCTATTTCGTCTGGTCCTCATCGATTAAACTCACACAAAATTAAATTTTACAAATTAGATTATCAGTAACGCGTGTAATTATCAATTGCAAACCGGTTTTGTGATTTATTAATATAGTAATAGTAATAGTAGCGAGCTTTCTCTGTGATTGACTAATAATAATGCATAAAAAAATTTATATAAAATAGGAAAACTCTATTTTTTTTTTTTTTTTTTTTACCCTTAACGATGAGGTAATGTCACGTAATTTTATTTATTGTAGGACAATGAAAATACATGAGTTACATAAAAAAAAAGAAAATGACTGCCCCCTAGTAAACTAATTAGTTCACTATGAAACCAACCTTTCACCGTTACCTACTAAATCAGGCCCAAAAAGGTATTAAGATTTAAACACCTGACATTCAAACATAGATAAAAGCAAATGGTTATTACCCATTATAATAATCTAAAAGGAAACCACCTGATGCAATTGCATGTTCTATACCCTCAGAACCATTTGATAAATTGTTTGTATCTCTATTTAAACTACTAGAGGAGTTGTTAGTAGGATTTTTATTGTATTTATTTTTTATTTTTTTTTCTTTTTTAGTAATATTTAATGAGGTTTCTAATTTAATCATTTCTTCACATCTGGGTTTCCAAATACGCTCCATGATTTTTAAATATATATTGTTCATAATGATAGATGTGATTTTGGTAGTGATTTTTGAGTTTGTGGTATGATTTTGTATTTTGTTGGTAATGAAAGAAGGAACAATACCCTTGATCATGTCAATAAATGTGAGATTGTTCTGGTTGCTATCAACAGACCATATAGTGCTATGTTCTATGAGAATAGGAAAATTATTATTGTTTTTCTTGTTATTCTTGATTTGGTTGTATAGCTCTTTCTTTGTTTCATGACAGATTTGTTGTACTTTCTGTTTGTTTTGAGGACAAGACCAGACATGATTGAAATCTTCTTTTTCATTGTGGCAGAGAATACAATTCCAATGTTTATACAAATCTAGCCTTCTTTTTTTTACATGTTCCAATGTTGGTATTTCTTCTAGCATAAATTTGACTTTGGAAGCTTTACGATTTGAGCTGAAAAAGGATGTTTCATTGGAAGTTTCATCATTATTCAATGAAAAAAAAGTGTTACTCCAGTCTATGTTGCATTCTCGATATTTTCTATTTCTATATAAGTTGTACCATTCTGCAAAGCCTTTATTATATGAGATATGTTTGATAAAATGACGTAGATGGGTATCAATAATTATGTTTTTCCATTTTGGCTCATATTTAACATGAGAGGATGTTGTGATAAAGGAAAGAGTGGGGAGATTCAAAGCAACCTTAGCAGAAGCATCTACTCTTTCATTATATATGTTTCCTGTGTGTGCTTTTATCTTTCTAAATGATAATGTAATATTATTGATTTTGATAATATCATATAATATTGACCAAAAAATGTGATTTTTTTCTTTAAATATATTACAAGGATATGTGTAGCATTGTGTCTTGAGGGATTTGTTAAATTGATCTATTGTTGATTTACTATCTGTGCAAATAGTAACTTTAGAGTCTTTAGGTGCAATTAATAAAGCAGCTGTTATAGCTGCAGTTTCAGCGCATGTTGCAGAAGGCCAATTTTTTTTTATTGATGCTCTGAATTCCAATTGGGGAGAGTCTGGATGTGTTTGAATATAAGCAATGCCCATTTTTATTGTTTTTTTACCTAGATTTATAAGTGATCCATCAGTATAAAATTCCAAATTTAAAGAATGGTGTAATGAGCTTTGTTGTTGTAATAATAAATCACGTAGTGGAGAAGATTCAATAAATTGAAGAATTAAGTTTCTTTCTTCTATTATTGTGTTTGGGAGTTCTACAGTTGTATATGTCATTTGTTGTGTATTAAATTTATAGTGATATTCTGCTCTTTGCTTTAATTCAAAAATAGGTGTCCCTAGTAAATATTTATTTGGTTCTAGTTTTTTTATTTTTTGAATTAGTATAGCATCTTGAAGGGAATAAAGGTTTGCACAATGATAGAATTGGGTATTGTATTTGTCATCTGTAATAATGTTGAATTGTGTATGATTGATGTTACATCCAGGACATGAGTAAATTGAAGGTGTACTCTTTGATGGAGATGTTTGCATGTTTAAATCATAATGTAACCAGTGTTCTATGACTATTGTGTTATTTATAGGATATTTTTTAACAATCCTTCCTATAATAGGTTGATTAATGATGCAATTCCATATGATAACCCATTCTTTAGATTGAGTGTTGATGTTTGGAATTGTGATTGTTGATCCTTTAAAATGTGTTGCTGGATAAATGTATGAAGGTTGGATTCTTCTTGAGATGTCTGGTGTCTGCAATATTTGATTCTCGATAATTTTAAACCATTGGGGTACCCGTGTTACTCTATTGTGTGTTGTGAAAGATTTTTCTGTGATGGTTTTCCATTCATTTAAAAATATTCCATCAATTGAGGATAACTGGTCTATAAACATAATAGAGTGTTTTTGTAATTGTTTCTTAAATTTATGAAAACCTTTTCCAAGGAATTGTCTAATATGTAATTTTCCTCCTTGGATGATATTCATATCTTGTTTCATGACCTGAAATGAGATTTCATGGATTTTGCATAGTGAAATCATCGAAGCAATAAATTTTTTAGAAAATTTTTTTCCTAAATGTTTGTAAGGCCATTCATGCAATGGTGAATATGATAGCCACTCTTGTTGTTGAAGTTGCTTGAGACGGATATTTGTAATTTTTCCAAGAAGATTTTTGTCATTGATTTGAATACAAAAATTTGTAATTTTTGCTTGGAGTTGTACTTCATATAAATCTCTATATTTGAAGATAAAATTGTTTTCTAATATTGCATTAGGTGCTGTTGATGATAAATGAATTTTGTGTTTAACCATGATTTTAGCTAAACGATTATTTAGAAGTCTGACCATAGCTTTACGTGTTGTATCGAGGAGTGTAATTGGTCGAGTGTTGTTGAGATCACATTCCCATTCTTTTGGTTTTGGTATGGGATAGATGTCAGCTTCTCTCCATGCATATGGAATTTCACTTAGATTTATACAAGCGCAAATGAATTTCCAAATGCATTCACTCATTTTAGAACCTAGATTTTTTAACATTTCATTTGTAATTCCAGAAGGTCCCGGAGCTTTATCATTAGGCAGTTGTGTTAATACATCTAACCATTCATTATAAGTGGGCTTTGTCATTAAGTATTTATATATAGTAGGATTAATTGCTGTTAGTGGTGTATATTGTTCTTTCCATTGGTCTGGTATTTCTTTTTGTGTGTGGGTTCCACCAGGACAGGTTTGAAAATGTTTGTTTGTTAAATATTTTATTTCAACTGGGTCAGTAATAAGAAATTGCTGACCATTTTGTTTTTTTCATTACTCTATCTATAACAATTCTTCTTTTATTTCTTTCAAAAAATGAATTGATCATATGACTTTGATTGTCTTTGTAATTTTCACAACGTTGACGGACAAATTTTTTTATTTGTTCTTCGTTCCATTTTTTATTCAGTAAATCAGTTTTAATGATGAGTGTTTTGTGAAATAATGTTATTTTCTTTCTAATGTCCTCAATGGTTGTTGTAGTGATAATATCTGGGATTGTTAATGTGTAATTGTGGTTCTGCGTGATTGTATTGATTTTTTTTATATGATCTGACCATTTTTCTTGTAACTTTAAATTGTTACAAGGAAAATTTTTAATGTTTATGCATCTAATTAATTTATTCAAATATTTTAAATCTTTATATATATCTATCAGGTTTTTACATTTTCTTTCTTTATGTTGAGTTGGTGTCATGTGATTAGGAATTATTTTAATTGCTGCTTTCATAATTCCTTCATGAATAAGGTTCCAATAATGATTGAGGTTTCTTATATCATGATGTTCATTATTTTGAGTTGGAGATCCTCAAATTGTTTATTTGTTTCTTTTTTATAATTGTTCCAGAGTTCATCTGTCATTGAATCATATGAGAAAATTCTTTTTTTCATTCCTTGTTGTTTCAAAGTTGCTAATTGTTTTTTTTTGAAAAGGTTATTGGTCTGAAAACTTATAATTAATGCATTATGATCAGTGTTGTATATATCGGGTGACCAAACATTACAGTTGATTGTCTCTACTATTAAATCTTGTGATATCCAAATGAGATCTATTCTGCTGGAAGTTTTATTTGTGTCTTTTGGGATATATGTGTTGTATGGATTTGATAGTGTAATATCTTTATATTATTCAATTGTGTCAACTAAATTGTAACCATATAACTTATTTAAAATATTATATTTCCAATGGTATCTTTGTCTTGTATGATATTCTTCTTTATATCTTTCTGGGCTTAAATTAAAATCACCCATAATGATAAGTTTGTAATTATTTTTTTTTCCTTGGTCAATTAAGGTTATTATATAATGATGTAGATCTGTTATTTCTTTTTTATTTCCAGTAAAATTAGCTTGTAGATAGACTTGAATAATTCTCAATTTTATATGCCCTTTCATGAAGAGGTCCAAATAAATCACTCTTCCTTGGTAACCAATTGCTTTTTGGACATATTTTGAGTATTCCTTCAAAATTATAATGCCAACGCCTGAACCAAATGGATTTGGAGAGTCATTATTAAAGTAAGGAGTGTATTTTTCATTATTTTTATATATTATTTTTGATTGTATTTTATTTAATTTGGTTTCTGATAAACCTAAAATATCTATTTTACTGATATTCATCATATCAATGATTTGATGTTGTTTTGTTTCTGAATTTAGTCCTTGGATATTTTGTGTCATAATTTTAAAAGGGTGTTTTATGTTTCTATTATTTGTATTATTATTATTGTTTGTATTATTCATATTGATAAAATATTATGATGATGTGTTTTCTAAATTAATAGATATTTTTATCAGAATTGATTTCTTCTGTATCTATATACTCAACATTGTCGTTGTTATTTGGATTAGGATTTCCATAAACTTCTAATACATCTTTTAGTTGTGTCTGCATTTCATTTATTCCTTGGATTAATTTATCCTGTGTATTTTTGATACTTTGTGTTTCTTTTTGTAGTTCTTTTTCTGATTTGTTGTCTGGGTTGATTGTATCATCAGAAGAAACATCTACCTCTTATTGGACATTTGTTTTGTTTTGAGTCTTTCTTTGGTTGTGTTTCATGATTATTAAATTTTCTAGGTGGATTTGTAATTTTAAATTTCTGTTCAATTATCATTATTCTGTCAGTTAGATTATTAACTTGTGATGTTAATATTTTTAAGGATTTTTGGATTTCTGAAAGAATAGAGTGTAATTCTGGATTTTTCTTTTCATGCATTGAACCTCCAGATGTAGTACCATTTTTTAAAGTATTTTGTTCATCCCCATTGTTGATATGTTGTTTAGAGATATTTTTATCTTTGGCCACTTCAGCATATGATTTGGGCAATTTACGATGCTGGGTAAGTCTAAATTTACTGTATAATTTTTTCATTTTATTTTCTTTTGGGTTGTTATTATTTCTGTTGTTACGGCCACATATTTTAGCAATGTGATCAGGTGATCCACATATATGACAAGTTTTGGTATCTTCTCCACACCAATATAAAGTTGTATCATTGTATGAGTAATCTTTGGTTGTTGCATTAAATAAATCTTCATCTGTTTCATAACTCATGTAAGCATAAGACAAACCTCTGTAATTGTTTGGGTTTCTTGGAATAAAGCATGACTTTGCATTTGTTGCGGCAATAATATCCAGTCAGGAATTTTGCTATAAATGGTATTGCAGTTTTTGGGGAAGATCATCATTCTAGAAAAAACAAATAAATTCTAAAAATTATGTGTTACAATAAAAATTTTTAT